CCATAACCATAAGCGCTGATCCTAAGTGAGGATCATGAGGGCCCTTCTATAATTGGCTTTTACGGCAAGAGCAATCATAAACTGAGACTATGATATCAAGTTTTTCTGATGTAATTACGTAAGTGTTAAAAATGACACCATCTAAAATTTACATGCAAAAACTATAGCATAGGTGCAGCAATACTGAAAGGAGGATGCTGCTTCAAATTATCTGCTCTGCCTCCTCAAAAGGCTAGGTAAGTAAAAAACTCTCCTTCTGTCAACATCCAGCAGAGCTATGATTGTGTAGTTGTTGCAGGAAAGATCCTTCTCACACAGAAGAGCTCAGTCTTTACTCATAAGAAGAAACTTTATGGAAGTTCTCATATAGAAAAATATTTGGATGGAATGGTTTTACAAATTTCACATTTTAACTGTTTCACCCATCTTCCTTACTTGCCCTTGAAAAAAGAGTAAAGTGGACACAATTTTCTTTCAAATAATTAAAAAAAATAGAGAAGAATATGCTGATTTAAATTTCTATTTGCACACCAGGGAAAAAGCACAGAAAAGCTAAGCCCCAAAATTATTTTTATGAAGTTTTAAATGTAAGAAACTGGAGATTTTCTATTCAAAGTACTTTGTAACATATCACAACAGATAAAAGTAATTGCTCTAACAATCACTAAATTTCAAGAACAAAAAAGATTACTTCAATCTATTTGTATTCAAATGACAGACACAGAAATCTGATATTAGATACTTATAACTACCTTAGACAAATCAATATAAGCAAAAGCAGATTTATACATGTTGAATAATGGCTTAGAAATACATTCTAAATTTTTTGAAAAGCAATTAGAAGTAAGCTCTTTGAAGCCCTCAAAAGCCACATGGTCATTTCAGGCTCCTTTTGTCATCTTCCATTTAAATCCATTCTTCAAGAACCCTTCAAGACTGAATTTCTACATTAAATCTATCTCAATTACTCTCTGAAAGGGCAAAATTTCACCACCAATAAACAGAAGAAGTTTATGGAAATGCCAAATGGGACACAGAGCCTGGTTCTTAGCTTTTGCAACTAAACATGGTTAAGTCATTTTGAAAATACAGCGCCATAAATACGTTCCACAAATCTCTTTCAGATGTTTTAGTCAAACTCATTCTCTGAACTCCTGGGCAACCAGATTAACTCCACAATGTTTAAACACTACATGAACTTTACAGAGAACATTAGAAAGCAGTATTTCAGTATGTGGGCTCAAACATATAAATGAGGAACACTCCTAAACCCTGTACTTTTAACTCACAGGTTTCGAGAAGACTTTCTGAGTGCAGCCAATTCTGCAGAAATTACTGTCACGTGAAGAAACAAAGAACAAACCAACAAAAAAAAAAAAAAACCAACAGAGCTGAGTTACAGAGCAAATTTCTCAGACAACATTTATTAAAATAGATATTAAGTGAGGTATTTTTTTAAGTGTTCAATGGAAGTAAACGTAAGTCCACTTCCATAATACCAAAATATACTGAGTGTTGGATAAAAAGCTCCAATGTAGTGTAACACTTCAAAACTTAAAAGGCTTTCTTGATTTTGCATTGATGGGTAGTCTACTCTTCAGCCATCACATTTAAGTACACTGAAACCTGCTTCAGTGAAAAGCACTATAAAAAAATCTTTGGTTATTGTTTACTGGTTTGTACTTTTTAAATGGCTGTACAAATATGAATCATGTATTGCTGCCATTGTGGCCATGTGCCAAGCGACCACTGGAAGTCACCTTGTTCCAAAGAGCACTGTTTTCTAAATTTCCCACAGAAAGCAGATCCTTGCAATAGAATGGCATAGAATAGCTTTCTGTAAAAAAGAGATCAGTTTTAATGCAGAGATTAATGACTGCCAGAATATAATCTTCATCTCATCCTAAATAAAACAGTACACTTTACATCAGAAACTACTTCAACCTACTCTACACTGTGTTAAAAATTGGAGGTATTAAACACTGCAGAGGATTTCAATTTATTTCCATGATTTCATACCCAAGCTTTATTTAAAGACAGACTTTATGCAGTTCAATGATGAATCACTATTTTTGTCAAAACTTACCTGTAATTAAATTAAAACATTCTACATAACGATTCACAGAGAAGTTGTTCACCTGCTACACTGTTTGTGTAGTATAGAAACTACACAACCTTTGTAGGAAAAAAGGTTAAAAGTTTTAAATATGTAATTGGAACCTTGGATATAAGGATCTTCTATTCTTTTACAGACTAGGTTTATCTCTTCTGCAGTAAGAATAAAAACATTTTTTTCTGAATAATTAAAGTTACAGTATTAAAATAATTTCTATTCATTGTTTATTTCTACCTTAAACATTATGAACAAATAACACATGAAAATGTGATTATTTTCCTGAATAAATTTATTCCCATTTTCAGTATTTTACATATTAATTTTCCTTACCTGTCCCGTTTTATAATGCCTTGCAAATTGGTTAACCACGCGATAGTCATTTGCAAAATACTCCATTAAAATTGAGGGAACTTCAGCAAAATCAGTAGCACATCTGGTTCCTAGAGGTAGATTAATTGTACACCTTAGCATTTGCTATTTTCATTAACACAAATAGTTAACACTTTCTGAAAGTTTTTGCAACTTTCAGTTTGGACTTTTGGTGAACTTTAATGTTCTTTCATTTATTAAGTCAATATTTCATTTCCATAGCATTATTGTACATATTGCCAGAAAAGCTTCATTATAATCCTACACATTTTACTATAAATCACAAAGTAAAACAAAATATTTGAACAGCTGGGTGAGGCACCTTATAAAGCTCTGGATCACACCCTTTTTAAACTAAACCAGACTGCAGCCAAACTGGCCCTACATGAAATGCCAAATATGTTTAAGTGTCCTAAACTTAAATCAAAATACAGTGTAAATAAAACTCTGCCTTAATCCCATTCACAGTTACAATTTTTAGCTTCCATCTGTTTGCTGAGCTTACTTATGCTTTATATTAATCTCATTTTATAATACCAAGTCATTCATCCAAGGAACACTCTTGCAGATTGAAGACATGATCAAAGTGCAATAAGGTAGTATCTTAGCAGTTAGCAGTTTCGAAAAGCACTTTCCCAAAATCCCTGGAAGTTATTAAGAAGTATAGCACATCACCAAATCAAAGCTGCATTTCCAACTTTTATATAGAAGTTAGGGATGTATAAAGTCCTTGCTTTAATAACAGACCCACTGTCCATGGATCAGCTCTGTCCCTGTCTGCTAGAGAGAATGTCAACATCCAAAACTAGTCTTAAATGTAAGTACATTTTTTTGCTTCTATTGTCCTTTCTTGAAGACTATTTTTTTCCAATCCCTCCCTTGGGCTTTACAAATCTTTCTCTAATTTCTAATCTGAACTCATAATCTGTTTATACTGTTTTCAGACCAATACTGTTCTTTAGTATAAATAGCATTTCCCACAGTTTTGTACCTCCTGCTCTTTGAAAATAATTTTTTTAAAGCTTAAGACAAATCCATGCAGAACTACACAGATGTTCCCCCAGCCATTTATGCTTTCTCAGTGCTCCTTAATAAAGTGACAGAATTTTTTAATAACCATTAAAGAGACTCCAGAAAAATTACACTGTCTGAAAGTCAGAAAGGTAAAAGTTTAGACTGTTATGTGGGATAAGTTAGTCCTCCTGAAAAGTAGAAATAGGTATTCTCTTCTACATGATGAACTAAAACAGAACACAAGCTAGGTTTTAAAAATCTTATACACACACATATGCATTAAGATTAACTTAAAAAGCAGCACATCTTAAGTAAAGAATGTACAGTATTATCCAAGTTTTGGCCCCATTAGCAGCAGAATGGGTACTTGAATATTTGGGAATGTTAATCAGAGACGGGAGGCAGGGGAGAGTAGAAAAGACTTGAAATACTCAGTGTACCTCAACTAGAATATCAAATTTTTTGTCCTTATGAGAGCAGATGGCCCCTAACAGACATTCCTGGGACAAGCCATTTGATTGTCACACATTCCAAACCCTGGGAAAAAAATTAAAAAAAGGGCGTCTCTGCAGAAACAATCCGACTGATCTCCAATGCTGCTTTTGCAATGTTAGACCTGGAGCGAAATCCCCTGGGACTCAGGACTGCCTGGAGCTAAGGCAACAACTGAAACCATACCCAGGGGCTCATGGGAAGTCTGAGCCTCAAAATTAGCCATTTCCTGCCCCTTCAAGACTTTGACATGCAGATGTAGAAGATTCACCCCAAGAGAGGAACTCTACCAAACATGTAAGTATGCATGGAGGTCAAGGCCCTAAGAGTGGAAGGGGTGGAGGAGAGCACTTGGCCATCTCATGGAATATACAGAACTTAGACTGAAAAAGCATATACAATGTTAATTTGTTTTTAAAACGTCCAGTAGTGACACACTTAAAACCAGCTCAGTCTATTTTAAGTGGAAGGCTAAGAACGAATATTTTGTCACTAGGTGAGAAGTATCTGTTAATAACACATAACTCTACCATGATTCCCCTTTCTATCAATAGCATAATACAAAAATGGTAAAAGATTAAAAGAAAAAAAATCCTTCAGAAAAAGAAGCTACAATTTCATCTACTTGGTTGTGTGATTTTTTAAATAAGTAAATGTCTACTCCAAATGGGATTTGTGGATGTGTGGATGGCCCCTCCCTGGAAGTGTTCAAATCCAGGCTGGATGAGGCTTTGAGAAACCTGGTCTAGTGGGAGATGTACCTGCCCATGGTAGTGGGGTTGAAATGGAATGATCTTTAAGGTCCCTTCTAACCCAAAGCAGTCTATGATTCTGTGATTCCCAGCACACTGTTATAGATGATGATATAGCAATCCATCTGCGGGTAAGAAAAGTAGCATGCCAAGCAGCTTTAGCCAGAACACATCTTTGACCCATTTGCCTCAGCAACATGCAAGCTCCCACTCACTGCCACTGCTTGAGAAAAGGGACTAAATGAAAAAAGACAATATTCCTTTTCTGTGCATCCGCTAAGCTGTGATGGCAGATTCATTCCTGTTCTTTTACATATGATAAAAAATCCTCCAGCTAATCATGCTTGCAAATACAAAACGTTTTTATCAACTTTGCTTTAATCAGAATCAGCTAGAAAAGGCCTCGCTTTACAGATTTTCCATATTGTCCGTGTATGCTCTTTGCAAGAAATAATTTGCTAATTTTCTTAATTTGATTTCCTAAATCATTTCCAACCCATGATTCATTGTGCTTTTACATTAGGTAAAAGTTTAGCTGAATTTATTTTAAATCCTCCATTATTATAACTCCACATAAGGCAAGCCTGCAAGAGTGGATACCACCACTAGAACAAAGATCAGCAGTACAGAAAGAAGAGATACAAATGTCTCATTTGTATTAGGAGATGAAGAATATTCAACTGTTACCTACTTGGGATTTAGATAAAATCATCAAAGATTCAGAAGTATCAACATGACTCAATCATTTCTGTTTCATCATCTTTTTCTCTTGTTTTGTCTGGGCTTCCCTACTCCCATCTCTCCCCCCCACACCCCCTTTTTATTATTTTTTTTTTAATCTACTCCCTTTTTCTAGAAATTAAATATTTAACTAAAACAAAACAAAAAAAAAAATCACTATTCTAACTCTTACCAGTAACATGTTGGTACCGAGTTCTTCCCAGCATAGAATGCATAGCATGTCCCATCTCATGGAAGAGATTCTCCATCATGCCAGGACTTAGCAACGTTGGTGCACCCCTTGCTGAATGGGGCAGGCTAAGCATAAGAACAACTACAGGCAACTGGTATTCTCCATTTTCCTTTAACCTGCCTCCACGGACTGTAAAGTGACAATCCTTTTCAAGATGAAAGCAAACACACAGGCAGCCAACGTCATCACATCAATGATATTAAAGCAGTAATTAAATTATTCAATTAAACCTAAACACGTTCAGTTACACAGTAAAATTCAATGATCGTTAACAGTGTTGTTCGATAGCAGCATGCTGTTTCTCCATCTTTATTACGTGCTTCATATTCATTCAAAAACTACCTTATTCCATAACGAAAAGACCTTGTGTTGCTTTTAGAAAATAAAATTTAACTGTTGTTGTTGTTTATAATTATCAAAACCTCTCACTTTTTTCTACAAAATATGACTAGCTCAAAGAAATTTATGATGTTTCAGATCCATAATTTTTAGATTTTTCTCTCCTAATTTTTCAGCATTAACTTCTTTACAGAATACATTGCACACCACTCCTAGTATGTTGTGAAATATTAGTAAAACAGAGTAATATATTAAACTAATGAAGATTTAAGGTTTGTCCACTTATCACCTCAATACACATGGTAATTTGCACACACGGAGTGAAATGTCTGTTATACCGCATCATATAGTTAATATACTGGCACTAGACAGCACAAGCAAGTAAGCCACAAGAGTTGGAACCATCCACGGTTTTGTAACAAATTTTGAATAAAAATGAGTTGACATTATGAGCTTTCACCTTTAGAGAATATTAAAATTTCAGGTTGTTTTTACTTGTAAACAGTAGGCCAGAAAATACATGTTTAGAATCTACAATTTCCCTAAACAGATTTCTGACATTTCATAGTGCCTCCATTCTGTAGAACAAAGACTGAGTTCAGTCTATCAGGCGAAGTGTTTTTTTAAAATGGAAGGTTACTTGCAGAAAAATTTTACCTAAAACCACATTTGAAGTTACAGACTTTCCTTGTTTAAATTTGATTTATTCTAAATCAAAGTAACTTTTACTAAACTTACATTACAAATGGCTCTAACACTAGAGTCATTACTCAGATAACATCCCCTCTGGACTCAGATCATAAATGTTACCTGGTGTGGTTTATCAGGTCGCTGAAAGAAGTCACAATAGATGTATCCTAGCAAACCTTCAGTTTCATGAACAACAGCCTGAAGAAATAAAGCATCATTTCCACAGTGAACACACTGATATGATGTGTAAATTGAAAACATAGTATTCTAATCTAAAGATATATAATGAATAAATGACAAATAAAACTGAGAATAATTAATGTGAAATCTGTTGGTAATTACAGTTGGGAAACAAAAATACATATACAAGATTCACAACTTGTCCCTCAAATTACAGTCATTTCTGCATTTCACTCAGAACTAATTAGTCACAGATTAGGCTTAAAAGTAACACTGTCTGTAGCCCCTAAATGACTTCATAGAAGTTAACATCATCAGAAGCTGATTTACCACGGAAATGAAAATAGAGTGAGTAAGGACTAATTATAAATTGACCCACAGGATATAAAGAAGAGCAGCTCTTGCTGGAGGTGGAAGAGCACTGAAGAAGATCTGCAAACAAATACATGGAAGGAAGACAACAGAAGAACCTGGGAACATGATGAGTAAATTATTGCTCAAGTTTTCACTTCTACCCTCTCTTAAAAAGAGGCCAAAAAAATAAAAGACGTAAAAACAGTTCTCAAAGTACAAATGACATACAGAACAAAAAATAAGGCAGGTACATGACTGCTAGAATAGGTACCTACAGCATACTGGTTGTCTACCGTCATCTACAAATTAGAACTAAAAAAAACCTAGCAGAGTTGATTCAGGACAGCTTGAAAAGTAAAACAATCATCTCCAAACAGTTCTGATGAAGTAACCCGTCACACAGACACATATTATAAAAGCCATGAAATAGCAAGCATACAAAAGGCACTTGAGAGAGACTATAAAGCCCTTGAAGTCTAACTTCAACTGAAATTAGATAACTAGTCTGTGCTTTTGATAGGAACCCAAGTAACTTAAAACCAAAATCTGATTCAAAGCTTAGAGGAACACACCATCTTGTCCAAACCTCCCTTTGTTGGTTCAGATGCTGGGAACAAGAATACTTACCAACTTTCGAACATCTTCAGACCAAACCTCTCCTCTCTGTGTCTGTTCAGCGTAAAGGGAGATTCCTAGGAGCTGACTGAACAAAGAGTTCAAACCTTCCATGCATGCCCCAAGTGAGAAAAATGGACAGTACAAGCCAGGATCAATGTTGTACCTAAGGAAATAAAAGAATCCCAAATCTGTCAGTCAGTTGAGCTACATAAACTAAAGTCTTCACCTCCAAGTTACGGGATGTGACAAAATACACCACATAAGCCTTAAGACCCTTATTGAGCATGTTTGGCTTTATTTTTCAAATCTTGAAACTAAGTCACAGACTAGTTATGGCAGAAGGCCTCACAGTAACTCAATTTTTCTTATATTCAAATTTGGATACCAAATTCAGCAGACATTGACTATGATTTTCAGAGATGTAGTGAACATGTGGCTCAAACAGAACATGGCAACACCATGGGTGGTCAGGCTGTGGCTTTTGATCCACAAGAAGCCATTCCCATGCCAAGGCTGTGCCGCATGACTAATCAGAAAATGGAGCTGCCTTTGGCTGTGGTGTAAGCCAAATCCTCAGCTTGGCAGGAAACCACCCAGTAATCACTGCTGACGCTGCAGTCTTGTCTGTCACTGGAGCAACAGAAACACCAAGGAGACACAATCACATCCCACACGTGAATCACACCTCAAGCTCTGGGGGCTCTCTGAAACATGTAGAAAGTACTTTAGAGGTTTGAGCCATGTGAAGATTTTAGTATGTGACATGGATTTCAAAACATGATTTCCTGAGCCTGACATCAAACAACTAAGTATGTTCAAGACACTGCAGCACAGAAGACATACATGGCAAGGAAGACACCATGCATCTTCATGCACACACATAAACTGAGAATGAACAAAAAGCAATTATAAAAGTGATGTATGCAGCCTATACTTGGGCTCAAACTTCCTGAGACTCCAACCCTAAAAAGGGCATCAAGCAAACTTACATCTTCAACAAGCTTCTCAGGGCCACACAACTCCTTGGAGCCAACAGCAAAATCAGAACTGGAATCTGCTTGTAGTTGTGCACGCACCCCAATTGGCAAAAATCATCTTGCTCCCCCATTCACATACAAAGTCCAAGTGTTAAGTTCTCTATCCTGTTTTCTGGGGTCTCAGAGTAAAGACTGTTCAACTCTAAAGAATCACAATCCCTCCCTTCTATCTTCTTTCATGCTCTTGTGCTTTTACTTCTTTATGAAACAGCAGCTAGTCACTGAAATTTAAACACTCATCAGGTAGACTACATTAGCCAAACACCAAAGATGTGAACTATGCTACTTTAAAGCCTGTGACCAAAAGGCTCAGTGAGAGACCCTCTGTGAAAGAGCAAGCTAGTCCCTATCCACTTACCTACCCTTCCTTCCCACTCCCATGCACAGAAGACCTAAAAACAAAGTCCTCTGGTTATACTGCATTTGCCAATATGCTGCTTACAACTGCAGCTACAATTCACTATCCAGCTCCACTGCATTGCAATGCACAGCAGGGTGGCATTATTTGTTGAGTATGTCACTGTATTTTGTTCTATTTTTCTAGTATATTTTATATCACATATTCTAGCAACTTTTCGCAACTGCCATAGCAACATCTGTAAAAAATACAGGTATGCTAAGTTACAGGATGCTTATTTTCACACTACAAATGCAAGAAGCTAAAGACAATGTATTCCATTTTTAATTCTACTAGAACACAACAATAAAGCAGATATTGCCTCTACCATACTGATATTGCCTCTACCATACTGACACAACTTCTTCAAGATGCAACTTCTTCAAGATGTGTAGCAGCACTTAAATTCACTGCATGCTGCAATACACAACATTTTCCTTCTCACTCAAAAAGTCTTCACACCAGAACAAAAATAGGCATGATAAGCCACTTTAGATCAAGTTAGATAAAAAGACCAGGGGCAAGAGAAGAGATGGAAGGAAGAAGAAGGAAGAGTTAGTTTCCACATAATAAGTCACGGAAATTTGGAGTATGCTAGACACTGCTTTACACGTGGAACCCCGTCAGAAGTACAGAATTACAGCGTACGTGTTGAATATCCTGAGATTTTTTAAGTGAGTACTCCCAGGAACTGCAACTCCTTCAAGAGTGGCACTTTGTGAAAAGCTGCAGTAGGTAAATTTTAGATGTCTCCAGACTTTTCTTGTACCTACCTATGATCACCTTCTGCTGGAATTGTTACCATGAAAACTTAAACTCACCACTAAGTGCTTCAGTCTCGATTCTGTTCTGAAGCTTTCCCTGTATGCAGAATACAAGACCCTCTATGCAGAATACAATGATCCTTTTATTAAAAGGAAAAATAACACCTTTTAGTCACTGCAACCTCTGTAAGAGTTTAGGACTGTTTTTTGACACATCACTTCAAAATTTTATGCCATCATCCTACATACTACTATAAATACTAAGCTGAGTTTCCCATTTCCAATTCAAACAATTGCTTCTTTAACTAAAGACTGACTGTAAATGTTCACTATATAAGTACTGTCTCAATAGAAATTTAATACAATGTGAAGCACATTACATTATACCCTCCAAGCTGGGAAACACGATTATCCTTATTTTTAAAATTACAACATTTATTTCAAAACAAATTAAAGATTAAATAGTAGGTAATGATGCTCTTTTGTATAGCTAAAAAAATTACATGGAAAAAAAGACAAAGTTACACATCACTTTTCATCTTAATTGAGCCTTGAGTTGAGTAGTAACCCAGAGCTAGATCTCCTTAAGCCATTTCGGATAAGCAGCATTTATTAGTTCTGTCTCTGGCCCAATCCTGCTTGTCTCACACTGGTTTCTGCAGAGCCACCCAAATTTACCATACCTTGGTATGGTTTGTTAATCCAGGTGCAGCATGAAGCGCACCTGTAACAGTATCTCAGAACCAGTGGAGTAAAACAGACATGCTCAAGTTTCATATGGGAGTTGCATGAGGGCTCTTTGCAGGGTTTTTTGCAGAGCTCATTTCAAGCAGCCCTGCCAATGCTATGCTGACCATGTGCAGAGCTCATCTAGTACCTTCACATCTTCCTCCCCCCTGAGCACCCAGATCTAGGTGGCCGTGCTTGAGCAGGGGGCTTGGATTTAGATGATCTGAAGAGGTCCTTCCAGCCTCGATTATCCTGTGATCTGTGAAGATGCCATACAGAGCCATGGACTAAGACCACACAGCTATAGCATGAGACAGATTCCAGTTTTATCAGAGGAGGACAACATTTCACGTTAAATGCAAAAGATTACCACACTCAGTTGAAATACTGGATTAACATGTTTGCTCGGGGGTGGAAGGGAAAAACTCTGAAACTACGTTATGATTCATTTCCTTTCTGTCAAAAACACATACATACAAGCAAGAGAAAGTGCTGATATTTCTTCATGGATAGAAGAGCTGACATAAATACATTACAGAGAGAAGGTAAGTGCCTATTTCTTCCTCGTTTTCAGCACTCCATGAACATGTGCATTGTCTCCATGAACCGACCCCATGATGAAGAGGATGAGGACAAGGATTTCTGAAAGGTATTTTGTAATACACTGTCCAAAGTGGGGGTTGGGGGTGGAAATCAGTCTGTAATAGTTTTGTCTCTTGGAAAAACATGATACTTACCCACCCACACATGAAAATAGCAGTAACAGACCATACTGGCTTCAGGCAGACTCCCCAGGGGAACTAGTCCCCCAGCCTGGCTGAAGATGTCACAATCTTGACATTGTGAGTACAGTGAGGTTCTGATTAAACAACCATTTTAATAACTACACAAAGTTAATGTCAGTCATTTCTGGCAGAACACTGTCAGGATCAAGCCTCTCCCACATTTAATGAACAATGTGTGTTAATACTCCTCTTGCCAGCAGAAAAATAACAAAAAAAGTTTTGAAACAAATTTTTTTTATACAGAACACACACACACACACAAAAGTTTCTATTTCTGATCACTGATTTCTCTATTTTTGCCTTGCCTACCACACCAGGGTACAAAGATTGAAGATGAAGATAATGAAAAATCCTTAAACAGCCCTAGTGTCTTGTGACACAAGACTGATACTTACATTACTTTTTGACTATCCTGACAGCAGTCAGTGGTGATTATTATACCTTATATGGCATCCAGCTTGTTTGTTTGTTTGCTAGCCACTGCAATATCATATAAGTTATGGAGAAAGGGGTTAAAATACCATAATATAAGGCAGTTTTCAAAATCAGATTATGCTAACCAAAAATACACTTCAAAATGAGTACTGCATACAAAAAAAAACCCTACTGCTCCAGGAAGTGGAGAGTACATCTTCAAAAATCTTTCTCTAATACCAGTCTATACCCACTAAGCAGTAATCATTCCAGGCACGAAACCACAGATTTAATTCACAAGTTTTGGATTTTGTCCTACCTCATACATGGGCTCTCTTTTCACAAATCAAGACCAACGATCACTGAAGAAAGCCTAACCCGATAACTGCACTGATTCCAGGAAAACTTTCTCTTTGGGCTTATTTAGGAATAGAAATTAGCAAAAACCTCAGCTATCTGGAGTTGATGTCCTCTAACCAAAAACTCAGCTCCTGAAAATTAATAGATGATCTTGCCTTTCGGTGGCAAAAGCAAGCATTTACAACTCACCCTTTTCTGCACCCCCACCTTCAAAAATTAATGCTACTCACTGCAGAATGAAAGATGTAACACTAGAGAAGATTAGAGGACAATGGGGGAAAAGGGAAGAAACTAATTTAAAAGACTTGAATCTTCCCCACCCCCCAAAAAAAAAAAAAACAAAAAACCAAACCCCAAACAAAAAACAAACCAAACAAAACCACAACCAAAAACCAATACTCAACGAGCAGAACAGGAAATCCTACAATCTCTACTAGATCTGTAAAACTGAAGTCTGGCTGGAGGGCGTGGGTGGAAAGTATTTGGGAGAGTCTACAGACAAACTACATGCTCCCTTATTGAAGATTCTTGATTCCAGGCACTCAAACGGTAGCAGCTATTAGCAACTTCATTGTTTCCAGATGGCAGGGAAAAAAGCATGTGTTTGCTGGCAAATGATTACCCAAACTCAGTTATTCACAGCTTCATCACCTTAGTGAAACTGCAAGAACACATTT